CCTGGCGTTCTGCTGCTGCAGCCTCGGCCTGCTGGTATTGCAGTATAAGTTGTATCCGTAAGTTAGGGTCCGATGAGCCCAGCTGCTGCAAAACCAGTTGCAGAGAAGATCCTGTACCACTCTGCGAACTGTTGCTGCCACTCTCATCAGAGTGGTACTGGCCAATAGCAATGTCCATGGTTTGGCCCACCTGCCCAGTGCTGGACTCTTGGTCACTTTCAAGCAGGGATGCAATAAGCCATTCCTTGGTCTGATTCGCTACTGCAATCCCTCTCTCCTCACAGAGTCTGGACAGCTGTTCCTTGCTCTGCCTCTTGTAGGATGCCATCTCAGAGGACAATTGCCAAATAAAAGATAGGAAAGAAAAAAGAAGGGAAGGGCACTACTGTTTGCAAGTATGTCTTTTCTAGACTATGCACTGCGTTTGTCCTTGAAGACTGTATATTCCTCGCAAGGATGTACAGTCCTTTAGTGCAAGGGTTAAACACTTAATCCAAGCACTAATGCTCTAATAAAAAATTTAATTATGCCACCGCTGCCAACCAATTGTCACAAAAGCGACTCACTCAACCACACTTAACTCTTGGGTTTGGCTACAAGGGGTTACAATCAGTCTCTCAATCACCTTACACACAGGTTAGACTAACATCAGACACCCCAAAAACACACCAACACCCACAAAGTTCATTCGCTGCCACCATCTATCATTAACAGGCGATAGAAACCTAATGTGACTATTCCCCTGCCCTCTATAACAGGTAATAATTCACACTACACAATGCATCAAACACTCTCTCCTATGGTAGTTACTCAGGGTAAGATCCTACTAGTCTAACAAGCACTCCAGCAGCCAAAGGGTTAATCTACATTCAAACACACTTTCCTGCTAGCCGTACTAGTTATCCAACATACAAATAGGCAACTTTCCCTTTCCACACATACGAAGAGTTCATACACGTAGGCACAAGCATTCATATGGGCAATGAGTTCATTTAGAGCACAAGGACTAACGTATTAAATGATATTTAATATTTAAAAGAAACAGTGCATATGTATATATA